CTCTTTAAGCAGCCTAGAGTTTGACTTCAATGTGTTTGCCATGTTTTGGAGAAAGTGCGGATAGGCTGGGAGTCCAGAAGAGTTTCGCTGTCTGTGGGGGTTAGGTTCTGAAGTGAGTGCCTGAAGCATCAGGGAGACTCAAGTGACGCTAGAAAATTCCTAATGTTGCCCTCAGGTTTGTGAGCCACAATGTTCACGCAGGTAGGTAACTCAGCCCTTCCCCGAGTGTTCCAGACGCCCGTGTCATCCAAGGACCAGAGCAAGACGGGCGCTAGCACTGAGGGCCATGGGCAGTGGAATGCCAACAGTCACACACCAACCTTGTCTGGGCACCGGGGAGGGGACAGTCAGAGGACGGGGCAAATGCCTACAACAGATTCTACTCCCTCAGAGGAGGAAGGTGAGCAAGGGGGTGAAGCCTCTCCATCTTCCTGAATTTTAGTTAAGACTCAGAGTTGAATCCACACTCATTAAATGCCCATGTTTTGCCTCCTCTATACTGTGGATTGCACAAGTACCAATTTTGAGATTGCATTACAAACTACTGAGATGTGAAAAAGTAGAAAAATTAGTGGGAAAAAGTGAAAAAAACTAATAAAATTAACTGATGCACTAATTCTGGTTAGAGCTAGAAGGGTCCTTGAAAATCTGAGGGGGTGGGGCATTGGTATTCAATTCTAAATCAGTTTTAAGATAAATGAAATGTAGAGTCAGAATTACCCCTGACAGCTCAGCCTCCAAGTTGGTGCCCAGTGAAGCAGTTGGCTTGTGTTTAACAGCTGTGGGGTACTTTGGCAAGTAATTTTAACCAGCAGGATCTTGGTCACCTCAGAGCCAGGTTCACATTGTCAGAGGCACCAGAGTGGAGGTTGGCAGAAAGGGCGGCAAATCCGCATCCCTTAAGTCCTGCACACTCTGGGTGAGTCCCCCACCCCAAAGTCCTATGGAGACTTCTGCTCTGGAATTGAAACTCTTCCTTTTAAAGATATGGGAATTAAGGCTCAGAGCAAAGAACTTGGCCCAAATCGCACAACTAGTTAGAAGTAACGCAGAATCCCAAGCCAGGTCTCCGAAGGCCCAGTGCTTAGGTAGTTCATTACCACTGTGTAGTTGGATTAATAACACCAGGTAAGTGCAAAGTTTAGATGCCGAGACACTATCTAAAAGGCATGGAACTTCAAATGATGGACTAAAGTGTCAGTTTCATCATTGCGAAGCCTGAAATGAGGCAATTATAAAGAAATGAGACAGCTATAAAAACTGAAAAGAATGAGTCAAAGGCTACCAAAGAAATACAGGTTTTTGTGAATAAAAGTAGGTTTTGAATAACAGATTTATTCATCTAAGTCAGGGGTCCATAAACTATGGCCATGGACCAAACCTGGCCTGCCACTTGTTTTTATAAATAAAGTCTACGGGAACACAGCCATGTTCCTTTATTTATGTATCGCTATGGCTGCTTTTCTACGGCAAACAGTCGAATAATTATGACAGTGACTGCCTGGCCTGCGAAGCCCAAAGTATTTACATCTGGCCCTTTACAGGAAAAGCATGCGAACCCCTGAGTTAAGTCATGATGAAACTAGGACACATTTAAAGATATTATTAAATAGTCATATTTGTTAATCCATATGGGCAATTCTCAAACTGCGTCTCACAAAGCTATGTTTTTTGGATGTTAAGACTTATTCTGTAAAAATGGGTTCAATGGACCAACAAGTTGCGGAAAGGATGGGAAAATGATTAAAAAAATAAAAGCTTGCTCCAGGATTTCTCAGTCTTCAGTATGCCAGTACGCTCCAGGTTGAGGTGAGGGGTGTTATTTCGTACAGTACTTCCCAAACTCATTGATGGGTGGTGTACATACCTAGAGTTGAGCCAGTGGTCTCACGATCATCTGGTTGGTCCTCCACTCCCACTGTGAGGCCAACAGGAAGAAGCAAAGGAGGGCAAAACTGCCAAGTCTGGGAGGAAGTAAGTTATTTCCTTAATGGCTCACCAGATTCTTTATATGTAAGATAAAAATAATCAAATTGTTCTCCTCTGAGAGTGTAGCAGAAATCACCTTGCTACTAAAGCCTCAGAAAATATAAACTCTTTTAGCTAAGCTTAGTGCCTGGTGTAATAAAGTGTCCTTCTCAGCATAAACCCATGTCTCCTGAGAGACCAAATGAGGACTGAGATGCCGGGTGAGAGAAGGGAGCATCCCTCTGTGCAGCAATGTGCCCAGTATTTGTAATTTTTTTTTAGCAGCTTTACACATTTTGCCTCTAGTGTTTTGTTCCCATTAAATATGAGCTAAATGTCAGCTTGAGTAATTGTTTCTCCTTTGGTGTTAACAAAAGAACATATGCTATTTCACTTGCATCTAATTAAGCTCTTCAAATATTAGAGTTGCAAAGACTTGGTATTTCTACAGAAAAAAACTAAGCATATTCCCATTGGCTGTATTTGACAATGTGTTAGTTATTAATATAAATTATTTTTAAATGAAATGTCCTATGACGTCTCCTCCTTTTGAACTCAGAAGGGTGCAAGCACGTCATGGCCAGCAGGCTCATAACCAAAGCCCCTACTCAGGACACCACCCCCTTTGACCCTAACCCAAGGAGATGGGTCAGCCCACAGGAGCCCTTTCTACACCTCATGACAACCACACCATTTTGATCCAGAATTGAGGCCAGACACAGGCTAGACCAATCAGATTCCCTCCAGAGACACCAAGTCCTCGGAGCTGAGTCCCAGCAGTGGCAGTGTTCCACTGGAGGATCCCTAAGTGCCCGTGGTTCTAACTAACCAGCCCTCATGCAATTCTTACTGTGTCCCACTGCCCCAAGCTCTTTCAGATACTCCCTCTTTTAATCCACATAACCATGCTGTGAGGTGGGGATTATTATTATCTCCATTTTTTAAATGGGGAAACTGAGGCACAGAGCAGGTAAAGAACTGGCCTACGATCACACAGCTAGCAAGCTGAAGAGCTGGGGTGTAAACTCAGACCAGGTTCGGCTCTAGGGTTCTTCCTTTTAACCACACTGTGATGGGCTCAAGGTTCTGCTGTCCTTCTGAAACTTGGTTTTCCTATTTCCTGGATTCCATGAAATACTCCAGGAGCCTACTAAATTTTTGTTTTGGCTTAAGTGAGCCAGAGTTGGTTTCTGCTACTTGCAACCAAAATAAACTTAAGAGGAGAAAGCACTCTTCTCTTTTCTCAATGACATTTCCTCTACAAACCATATTTGAAGGATACTGAAGTCACCATCCGTTTCCACCACCAATGCCACAATTCTATATGGCAGAAGTAATGTCAAACAGCAGAGATGGGGCAGGAGGGCTGGGACAAGGGAGCGCTGCAGAAGAAGGATGCAGACTTGCAAGCACTTGCTGCCAATCGCTAAAAGTACGCCTTTTCACAGCTCCCTTGTCAAAAGCATCTCTGTATTGTTGAGTAGGTGAACCATGCCCGGTGAGGGCAGTGCTCACTTGCCTGGGCACTAGGCAGCATCTTCCCATCTTCCGCCCATCCCTCCTCAAGAGTAGACCACAATTAAACTAAATGCATCCTTTAGCAATATCCTACAGAGCAAAAGGTACTTCCCCCCCAGCCCCTCAAAGACAATTCCTTGGTCTAGAGACTTTTATTTTGTTTTTAATTTAACTGTTTCTGTGTACTTACAACATTGAGCATTTTTCTAAGTGCTTTCCCTGTATTAACGCTTGTAAGCTCCAAACGAATCCTTTGAAATTTTACAGATGAGGAAAACTGAGGCAGAAAGGAAACATGCAGGATCAACCTCAGGCAGTGGCTCCCAGAGCTGACATGGTCACGCTGGTTGTGTAAGAAGACACAACCCTGCTGTCCCATACCACAGTGGGTGAAGATGACCAGGAAAATGTGCCAACAAACAGAAATTGCGATTCTGATAAGAATGGTTTATAATCATGCAATCCAAATTATCCTATTTAATGAAGCTGAAGCAAATTGCTCATTTAGGATACAATTAACAAGAAAATTAAGTATTGGCCTTCAAGCTAGAAAAGAGAGTGAATAGTCTGATTTTTCCAAAGTGACAGAGCTATATAGGAAAACCAGCAGGGCCTACACAAACCCAAAATGTATCATCCTAAAAGGAAAAATGACAGTACGTTTTAGGGGAGGAAATTGCTACTCAGGTTATCATCCTGATCCCTTCTCAGCACCAGATCACTTCAGTCCTTGACACTTTTTCTGGACCATGGATGACTAGGTAAAAAGCCTATCTTGTCCTTAAAAAGTCAATCTTCTCCAACAGGCATTTACTCTCTGCATTATCAACATCAAACATAAACGAGATCTATGATTTTAAAAATTATTTCAAAGACACATGCTCCACAATACACAGACTTGCTCTGAATTTCCTTGTTTTGTGAGTTTTATCTCCAGCAATGAATTAATCTTCCAAAAGTGCCCATAACACGTTGACGTTACAAACACACACTTGTGGAGAAAGGGTATCTTGGGGCCACAGGGAGGGTTAATGCTCTTTCAGACAGTCATCAGTGGGAGCAGCATGATTTACAGAATCTCCCTGCGCTGTCAAGCGGCCCCAGCTATCAATGCCTGGATCTCGGCGTTGGCAGGGCTGCCGGCAGGATGCAGACGCTGGAGTCCTTGTTATACTAGTTGTACCTGGCAGGCCATGCTGGGTCTGTGCAAAGATAAAATGAGAAGGCCCCAAGCAACCGCAGGCTATCTGTCTCTGCTGTGCATGCTGCTGGCTGTGACTTTGTAGTTTATGTAAAAACAGTTGTTTTCTGAAATTGAATGAAAGCAAAGCGAAGACTGGCAAGCCTAGATGGCAACTGAGAGAGAAGTTAAAACACAGAGGCTCAAATCTAAAAGAATTCTGATGAGTGAGTTGCTTAGTGGTTGACTGGCAGGCAGGAGGCAGCCACAGCATTTTTCCTTTCTGTCTTGGTCAGTCAATGTACACGAATGTTCACCACAGGTGCAAACAGATCAGTGTTTTAAAAAATGGGAATATCATAATACTATACAGATTTTTCTCTTCCTTATATCGGCACAGGACGTCTGTCACTTCAGCAGTATACAAACTATTTATATCCAGATATTTCAGAATGAATTTTTGCTTTTAAAATCACAGGCACATTTTAGGCGCCCGACATTATTTTTGGATAACAAACTCCTTCCTGCTCGTGCGTGGATTCATGGTCAATTGTACTCTGTCATCTTTGAACTTACTCTAAGAACCGTTAGCACTAGCCTTCTGTAGAGAACAGGGGTCACTTCCTCTCATGAAGGAAAACATCCACATCCCAACTGATCCTACTTATTGAAGTTACAAACGACTCTCTGCTAAGCAAAAGCTGCATTTTTAGAAGTAAACATTACTCAACTTTTTTGAAGCCAACTAAATAGAACTCTTGTCACTGTTAAACTGGCTCAACAGTTCTCACCTCAATTCTTAAAAATTAAAGTTTGAAGACAGAGACTTGATACAAATGTCAAGAAATTATCCTTCTCTAACTGTGACTGTTTATGTGCTAACTTTATTGTTGCATATGTCAAGATACTTTCATTTTGTAAGATTCCAACAACGGAAGCTAGAATGGGCTCTCCGTGGACACCCAAGTGAAAAAAGAAGTCCAAGAACAGGGAGAGTGGGACGACCTGAGATCCTTGGAGGGGAGGCTCAGTCAGTCACTGGGCTCGATAAAACCTGGCACCTCTGTTCTGCAGATGGTTGGAGAATAGAGATGCAACCAAGACAGCAGGACCTCCGGTGACAGCCTGGGACCTAAACCAGAAGAGTCATCTGTCTTGCTCTAGGGGTCGACAGAAAAGTGAGGGACTCCTAGCAAGGAGGACTCCAGAATTTCTATACATGTGGGGTCTAGAGTCTTGTCTTGAACCTACATTTTCATAGCAAATATGCTGCTCTATTTGAGGATGGATTTCATTCAGGGGAGATAGGAGTGCATGGCCAGGAGATTTATGGCTACAGCCTCTTCAAGAGGCCCACTGACTTTGATGAGTACTAATAAAGTTCCCCAGGAATGGCAGAAAGAGGAACCTGTCAGATAAGCACAGGATGTTCCAAAGCTCAGGCTAGGAATCGTTGGGCCAGATGAGACAATGTCTTTCTCATCCACAGGTGCAGGAACATGAAAGCTTTCTGTGGAAAGATAATGAATGAGTTAAGACAGAGTTTCTTCGGAGAGGAAATGAAAATAGTGATAACACCCAGAGGTAAGACCAAGATGGGGTGCTGGAGCTGACTGAGCATTTCATTTCAGTCTTACCATTTAATGTTAAAGCCACTGGATGGGGTTAAGGGGACGGAAGGAAGGCTAACCTGAATATGTTCCTCTAAATCTAAGATCACAGACCTTTACGCTTGAGTCATTAATTTTGTACTTTCACACAATTTGCATCCTCAATTTACTTGTAGTAGTACTTCTGGGAAATTCTAGAAGCTTCTATGATGACCTAAAGGGAAAAACATCTTACCACATTTGAGAATACAGAGATCCACATTCCCCACTTGGCTGGGTGACCAGTTACCATGGTAGCGTAATACATCGTCTAAGTATAGACTTTGTGTAATGTTCTACCTATGGAAAAAGTTTTCAAAAATAGAACACAGCCTATTGTAAACTAGATCCGAAACATTTTCTTGTCAGTTTTATCAGGGGTTTCTAGAGACCTGAGCCACGTCTAGAATAGCCAGAAAGAAAAGGTGGATAACCGGAAATGGCCTTTCTTTGTCAGTCTTTCCATGAAGACTCATGCGAACTTATAATTTTCACTAACGTATAGAATTTAGTATAGAAAAGTCTCCATTTCTGGTGGAAGTTCAATTGAGGGGTATGGTGGAGCCTGAGAAGAGAAGGACTCCGAAATAATCACTTACTGTTGTGAGATGAATCCATTCAAATCTGCATAATGAGGGAATGAACAGGACAGACAAACACACACCCACACACACACACTTCCATTAAAAAAAAAAACCAGTGAAGTCATATATCTATACTTCGACTATAGCTTTCAAAGTACCGAGATTCTTTTTCCTTTTTTTTTTTTTTTTTTTTAATTTTAGAAAAGACTAAATCCCCCAGACCTCTTGGGAACTCTAAGTACCTCTGGTAGAAAAGTCCTGTTGTCTGGAATGCTGACTTATTTTCATGTCATGACTGCTAATTCCCTACAGCTAACCTCCAAGTACACCTGGGGCAGAAGTTCGAAGGTAGAACTGTGTTACAGAGCTAAGAGGATACATGTAAAGTAAGGCCATACAATTTAAAACGTATACTTTAAATCAAACATAAGTTTGAAAATACTTCCTAATCTTTTACAGAGGACCTGAAACTCAGTTGTTTTAGAGAAAGCTGTAGGCTTCTCTCCCATCTTGATCTGACTTTCATTCCTATACAGGTGACACATGGCTCTGGAGGAACAGCCAGCCTGTCCAAGCGTGGTTTGCGCCCACTGCCCGGAAGAGTGTAAGAGCTGACAGCTCTTTATTACCTTCTGGTCACTTCAGTCAGCTTCTTTCTACAGTTCTGCCCTCTTCCATATCACTATTTCTTCCATGTATTGTACACCCTTACTTCCTTGTGCACATCACAGTAAGACTCAATAAATTACTTACACAACTGTCTGTCCTACTATGAGCTCCTTGGTAGCAGAGAACAAGTCCTTATTTAAATATATTCAACTTAATAAACAAAGCTTACTTCAATTTTTAAATCTTTCATCACCAACATCATCACCATCAATGTCAGCCGCCACTAACTTTATTTAAACTTCACTTGAGGAACAATAGCTATGATAATGGACATACAGATCTAAGAGTATAACCTTTATTACAAATCCCAGTTTATCCCCTAATGAGATTTTTTTTTTTATTTCATAAGCTAAATATCAACAAGTAGTTCCTTCACAACATAGAGGCTAAGGATTTATTTCCCAAAGGCAGAATTTCCAAAGACAAAATGACTTTTATGAATTTCTGTGGATGGCTTGCAAATTTCTTCTGAGTTTACTCTTAAGAGAGTGACTTGCACACACTCAATGAAGTACAGTGCTCTAAAAACCAAAATAAAGACGGCAAAAAAAATCAGCCTGCTTCATTTTAAGGTCACAATGAATATTATTATTTATATCAAACTGAGCTAATACATAGTGTAAACAGGTACTGTTTACCAAGATCTCTCCACTCCTCTGGATAACACGTACAACTGAAAATGCATGATTTGAACAAAATAGCTGGAAATACACTCAAAAGTGATTACCTCCAAAATAGGAAAATAAATGTGCTCATTTTATGTTGTAAAAATATGGTGAATTGGAGGAGAGAAATTAGACCCATCTCTTCCTATACCGGTCATCTTTTCCATCATGAAAAATACACTTCAGCATTTTGTACCTCAGTGACTGATGAGCTTGCTTGAATGAATCCTTACCAACAGGTAAAATATCATTTCGATTACTTTGTGCCATTTCAAAACCGAGGTGACTCACTCAGTAATGAGATAGAGTAAAAAGCAGTTGTTTTTAGTGGGTTTTTCCTGGGCTGGGAATCATTTTAATTTACTTGTCCCAGATGCCACATTTCATCTAGTTGGTATTCCCTCCGTTCCTGGGTCTGTTCTCCCCTTACTCAATAAATATGGAAATCTATTTCTCGTCCAGTTTGAACATTGTAATTTTTATAGCAGTTTTACTCTTTCTGACAAGCATATTTCCACTCTCCTTTCGGTCCCGGAGAATGTGAAGAAATGCACTCTTTCCTGAAAATGCTTTGCATTTGTAAAACGTATTTCAGGATTCAAATTTCCTACACGTGTTGTTTAATTAGTATTTACCACAAAGGCCTCACAATGTTCTCCCACGCAAGGAAGCTAAGGCAGAGATTCAGAGTATGGAGTGACTGGGCCTGGTCCGGCTGGGGCCAAGTCCAATTTCAAGGGTCTCATTTCTGAGGAGCATCAAACCCTGTCTCAGAATCATCAAGGTTCCAGTCCTGCACACAGATTAGATTATAACCATTTGCTTTTCTTTAAGTCCTTTCTGGAAAAAGACAGGTTATTACAAAGAAGCAAATAAGTAGCCAAGTAATTTAATAATGAAGGAAAAAACAAATTAGGTCAATGCCCCTTTCCTCTGACTTTAATCCACTTCTTGGTGTCCTTGAATACTGGACAGTCTCGTTTTCCTGTACCTTGATATTTTGGATACTTCTTGTATTGAACTATATCACTGAGCCCTACTTGAGAAAAACACGATATGAAAAATACTTATTTTTATAAGCAGATTACAGTTACACTTATCCCCATTAGAAAACTATTCTTTGTTTAATAAAAACAACCACAATGAAATAGTCATACCAAGTTCTTTTGAAAAGACCCTGACAGTTGAGTTTCAGTTGATGAGGTGTTTGGGTTTGCTGCAATTAGCTGAAGGCTTAGCCAGTTAGGCAGTGACTGTCCCTATGGTCCCCTCCTTGAGCCTCCTCAACAGAGACCTGACTCTAGAGTGGTCTTTCAGACTCGCATAGCTGTGGTGGCGAATTCCTGCCGAAGTATTTTTAGAAACGCACCGCTATATGAAACACACATCTTCAGTCCAGTAACCAGACCAGACAGACTGACCCCTCTGTCAGCACCCTCTGAAAGAAGCCTTATAAAAATACAAAGGTAAGACTATCTCCAATGCAAAATAAGCCTGAAGGAGACACAGCCTTCACCCCCAAACGTTCACAGTAGATAGCTGAGAGCTGCAGGAATCCATGAGAAAAGGTAGGTCTTTATAAGCAGACTTGATGAGAATTATAACAAGTAGATGGCTGCTTTGAAAGTTATTGTCGAGATGTGAGCAGCTCAGAGAGTAGAAACAAGCAAGACTAAAGCCAGGATAGAGACCAGTGGATTAAGACATGAATCAATAGTTTGGTTGAACAACCTTTGGACCAAATTTAAGTATGTTTTTGCCTGGGGACTAGGACTTTGATGAAGTCTTCCACTTCTGAAGACTTCTGCTAGGCCTCAAGGCTCCAGAGCCACAGATCCCCATGCCATCCAACTGGAACAACTATATTCACCAGCCTGCCAAGCACTGAAGGACATCAGGGTCGATGAATTACTTATTCCCCTGTTCCGCTCAAGAATTGTGTTTGCAGATCATTATTTGGCAAGATCTTACAGAGCATGTAGAGTATTTTAAAACTAAAGGTTTGGAGTCACAGCCAACAGATAATCAAACTAATAGTTTACTAGTAACTTCTTACTTTTGACCCTGCATAAAGTATATATTTAAAATACACAAATTATTTATAACAGTATTATAAATTTGGAAATCACTTATTCTTAGGTCATTAGTATTATATAAATGCTCAGACTTTAATATCAGATATATTTTGGTCATAATATCAGATAATCAATGGTGAACATATACAAAATAATTAATTTAATATGAGGAAGAGAATTAGACTTGACTCAATAAAAATATATGGTAAGATTTGAAAAATGTTTTAGTTATTAATCAGCAGCAGCCTAACAGGCGTATCTGGTTCCCAAACAATAATTAGGAGCATATCATCAAAATTCACTGCCTACAAAGATTCTAACTGAATAGTCAGTTCAGAAAGTTGTCCTATTTTGAACATGAAAGGTGAAAGTTTGAACTTGATCTCAAACAGCAGGATAGTCTGAATGCAAAAAATTTGGTGATTTTCCTAAATTCTCTGCATCCTTCCAGCAGAGTGCACTCCAAAATCGCCAGTTACTAATTCATTTTATTAATTCAGTTCAATCTGCTGCTTCCTGGAGCTACCAAATGTTTTCTTTGGCATCATGTTTATAATCAAAATGTTTGCTTTAAAATTAAAATAGTTTTGGTGACATGTGTTTCCGAGAGCAGCTGAACCTTCTCAATAAGTGAAACAGAACTAAATTCAAATTGGTATAAATTTCTGCATCTCACTGGTAATCATTAGCATAAAGGGAGAACAAAATATTCTTACTTTTGAGAATCTAGAGTCATGATCGAAAATAACTGATTTAAAGACAATACAAGTGGACAGTTCATTAAACATGAACCCGGTGAAGAAGTCAATAAACCAATGAAAGCTGAATTCTCCGCTCTTTGGAACATCAGTAAATAATTTCAGGAAGGGGTAAGAAATTAAAGCACTATGACCAGAAATAGGAAGTGAAGTTCCCGCATGTACAGAAAGTCAGAAGAGGAAAAAAACAAAGAAACTAAAAGATAAAGTCAACAAAATTTCCGAAAACTAAAAAACAGGAGTTGAAAGCGCTGTCGAGAGTATTGTAGAAATACTGTAGACCCTGAAGAGGAAAGAAAAAATGATGTGGAATTGTGGGATCTGTGACTATCTAGGACATATTTTTAGACAAATTAAAAAATAAACATGTTCAGATTTGATCACTTTAAGAATGCAGGAAGAGGGGACACCTTTGAAAAAAAGATTCATGGGTTTCTACAGCAGGACTATCTGTCTATGGGGGGCAAAGAAAGGCAGAGCAAATCACTGAAGGCTGGCGCATCATAGACATAATGGTGTGGTGATATATTTTTTTAGAAAGAGGTATGGGGAGCTATCAAGTCAGATTCACAGTGTGACTCTGGAGGATTTCTAGAGAAAATTAGATGTATTAACTTGAATGAGTTTCTATCACGTCATGAGTGAAAGAAGAGATAGCCAAGCCATTTTGTAAGATGCATGTAGGAACTTACATAGTAGACACAAGAGGGGCTGGATTTGGTTATTAAAATTCAGATTTAAAACTTAAAATAATGTGAAGGTATTTGTCTTTGGAATTCTGCAAGCACAGAAATCAAGATAAGAAGACCAAGGGAAATTAAGAATCTGGATATTTAGTTAAAGTACTAAATTGTTTATAAACAATTTTAACACAATTTCCTACCCTTTCAAAATATGTCATGTCTTTACAAGAGGAAGAATTTGATCTGAAAAGATCTACCATATACGGCGTAAAAGAGTAGGAAATCCTTTGGAAAAAAATGAAAAGAATGTATGTGTATACTCAGTTCTTACAGATAATAGCTGAGAGGGTTATAAAATAAAGCTAAATCAAATTGATTGGCAGCAAGGGAAAAGTGATATTAAAGAGAAAGTGATAAGAGAGGAAACTCATGTCTATGGTGATACACTCTAGAAATAATAAAGTAATTATAGTGAAGACACTATGGGAATACCCAGCATGTACAAAGGAGATGCTAGAGGCTACATGAATATTATTTAAAGTTCATTGGAAAAAATGAGCTGGATGCTATAGAAAAATGCAATTAGATATTGTCCTATCTGCTGGATTTATAACTGAGCCAGAGTTTTTCATTATAAATATCTTTTAGACCAACCAAATAGTAACAGAATTTACTTGTTTAGATATAGCACTCAGTTCAGCTGGAGTGCTTATTAGTGGAATGCTAATTCTACTATGGTCTGTATAATTAACTTAATTCTAATTATTTAGCATTGTTACGTAGTAGGTAACTTGCCCGAAATCAATATTGCCTCGACTCTCAGTATAGCTGTATATAGAAATTGAAAGTTAAAAACTTCTTTAAAATTTGACAGTTATATAGTGATATGACATCAGTAATCAGAAGTACACACACACACACACACACACATTGAAGAAGCCAAAACTCCACTGCAAAGGAAATTTTTTTTGTGTCATAGTAAAAATTCAGGACACTGAGGAAAATACTGAAAGAATTCAAGAAATTAAATTCCAACCAGGCAATTCAATTGTGAAATTTAAAAGTGCTTTCTTATCTTATTTGGGTGTGCCTTTATCTGTCTTCCCACTAATCTATCTAGATTCTTTAAACTAGAAGGAGAATATGGACTTGTAATAGAATTATGAGAGCAAGCTTAGCACAACTGGTAATTATTGTAGTCCCTGCCACAATAGCAATCTCTATCACAGTCTCCAGGCAGAAGTGAGTCAACTAAACATCTGCAAGAATTTAAATCACTCTTTATCTGCCTCAATTCATTCACCTCCCACGTGACATAAAGTACTTGCCCAGGTTCCTTGTGTTTAGACTGAGTATATCAAGGTTACAGCCTTTCAGATGTAGACTATGATGCTCACACATCAAAGAAGCAGCAAGAGCTACCTGACAGTACCTGTCTTTGCTCTTTTAATTCTATACCAATAGTTTTCTTGACTTAAATAATGCTAAATAGTTGTGGTTCAATTGCCCTTACTTCTACCTAATGCGTACTTCCCACCTCCATCTTGAAAAATTGCACTCAGAAACAGGCAAATAGCCAATGATGGGAAAAGTTACTCTACAACTCACTGCAGTCACTCATCAGTTCTGATGGGACCTGAATCGACAGGACAGAACAAAATTGCCACCACGATACTTTGTGCCTTATCAGTTATGTGAGCATATAAGGATGCAAATAAGTTGCAATTGTGAGTTTTAATGACTTGAGTTTGAAGACAAAAATAAGGACCTCTAGAGATACAGGTCTGTTAGCAGAACAAAGCAAAGAAAAACTAAAAGGTACCATTCTTCTGAGTAACTTTGGTCTGTTTTTCATGAAATTTTTATCATGTTCAAGAAGTAGGAAAGAGATACAAGGTCAGTCAGATGACAAAATGATACAGATTGCATTGTTAGTTGTAAACACATACACACACAGATCCCTAACTAAGAGACCAGGAAAAATAAGTGAGAAAATACTCATAGCAGAATTATGTCTTATGAATAAGTGGGCTATGGCAACTTTCCGTTTCTCAATGAAAATATCTCTCCATTGTCAAGATGAACCCTGTCAATGGTACAACTTAAAATACTGAAATATTTTACTTAAAAATGCAGACATATAATAAAATGAAACACCAATATTTTAAAATATACTTTAACCATTTAATATGCATATGATAGTACCAGGTGAATAAAAATTATAGTGCTTTTCTTTTGTTTTATAAGTAAAAAGACAATAAATGGGCAATAACATAAATATTATGAAATAGTCTTTCTTACTAGGAATAAATCAATCATTAACATTAAGCAGTTTTGTGGCAAAATGAATGCACTATAAATTCAAGTCAAGTAAGGCCATTTCTCGATGTTCTTAAATTGTCAGAAAATGTGTCTCCGATGAATGAAAAGGGATATATACATGTCTATAATGATACATAGATGTCTATAAACACTGGCAAGGAAAATTTCATTTCCTTACATTTAAGCCCATATTTCCAAATGTTTAGCTTGAGGTTTCTGAGCTAATTATATTTTGATAAAACTGACCTTTGGTTTCATCCTCTTTCAAAAATCAATGGTTTTGATTCATTTTAAATAAACCAAAATCAAACCAATCTTCAAAATATTTTTATACAATTACACTTCTTCACAAAAATAGTTGCGCTGCTAGTTACTAGGTAACAAAAAATTATTCTATTATTTCAATATTTTTTACAAATAACAACTTGCATGTTTATTATTTTCAGTGCCCTTTTTTTCAATTTGGTTACTATATGTATTTATAAGTGATATTCATTGAAATGTTTTCTTTCTAAGATCTAGTTCAAGAAAATAGTGTGCCATCATGACTTGCCAACTCTGAAGTTCTTTACATCCTGCTGCACTCTGCTCTCACCTGAAGCCTGGTCTATTTCCAAAGACCTATTAGCTAGGGGATTTTAATGAGTGACATAAGGAAGCGGGGGCTTTCCGTCTCTACGGAAGTTCAGAATCCATGACGATTATGGAAAAGTACAACACAATATTTTTTTCAATAGTGAAAGCCAGAAAAGAGATAGAATAAAAAGAATGAATAAAATGTTCGGGTTTTCGGATGTTAAATGATTGAAACAGTTTCTATTTAAATGCAAATTTGACTTTTTAAAAGATGGGACTACCAGTAACTGTACCCTAAATGGTAAAATGAAAATCAATTTGAAATATGGGATGAATAAAGTATATGTGGACTTTCTGGGAATAATTTTTTATTATGAAAACCCTGATGCATTTTCCTTTGCTCAATCCATCTTAGACTTTGGACAGCTATGCCCAGGATGAAATGCAAACATTTTTAATTTGTTTAAGCACAAACATGGTCAGCTCACTAGAAGCTTCCTTGTTCATTCAAGTCAGATCTCACAAAATAATGATCAACAGAATGATGTATATAAAATACAAGACCAAAATAAGAGTTTAACTGAAGCATTATAATGACCAATAGTCACTATGTGTTTTTTATTATGTTGGGGAAGTCACTTTTAAGAAATGGAAATCACTACATTCTATTGATTCAAGAACAGAATCTTCAGACATAAGTCAGCAGAGTTGACACTTTCAAATACATAAAATGTGACATCTGCTCTTACAAATGTACTATACAGGCTGTAAATCATCAAAGAGAAAAACAGTTCAATGTCATTTCAGCCACTGTAAGCTATGGTTTACAACTGAGAGATAAAAATAGTCATACTGTCTCTGTGACATCTAAACCACTTTTCTATCGCAGTAGTCCATGTTCTAATTTATCTTTGTGGTTGAATAACACATAATCAATTGTAAGCAACTAGTGTAGTTTGATTCCAGTCAACTGCAATTTTCTATAGCTTTATCTTTTGCCCCACTGAGGTGACTTTTAGTAATGCCCACAACACACCATCTCAATCTTTGTGGTTGCTTAAGTATATCAAGCTTCTAGCCATCATTTTAAGGGCTAACATATGGCACTAATCCATACATGAAATATATTTTAAATAAAGTAGAGACATTTACACTTGTAAGCATTATAATAACTAAAGACCTATATTCCACTAGAAAAAGAAGTTTTCATTAGACTTAAAATAAGACCAGAAAGAGCATGGTCTTTGTGTAAGATTCCTGGTTCCACCACTTATGAACTATGAAAATTCAAGCAAATTATTTAACCTGTATGGTAATCAGATAACTTATCTGAAAAATGGGATAAAAATTCCTATCTTTTAAGGGTAGTTTTAAAGATTAAGTGAGACAACGTAAATACCTAATACAGTGCTTGACTCTAGACAACATTTTAAATAGTGACTATTATTGTTAATGTTAGGTTATTTTTTATTATTATCATTGTTGGCATAATAAAATAGAACTTTTTTTGGAGTAAGTAGAAATATTTGTTCACTTATTCCAGCATGGAAATAAACCCAACATAGTAGGCTACAGCTGGAATATGTGTGATTATGTTTTGCAAATAATGCTAATATTTAAATATTTTTGGAAATTCATTTTGTGTAATCTTAATGTGAAAATATCATTATCAACATGGTTTTTAAAAATTCTACAATGAAAATGATTACAGCAAGTATTAAAACTGAGGTCTCATTTGTTTAAACATATTGAATAGAGGTAAAAAGGTCAAGTAATACTTTCTATAAATTAATAACAATTGCTGGCAAATGGGATCCTAGACATGTTAATGGGGATTTTTAACATATTTTTTCCATTTGTTAAATAATTACATATTAGCATCATAGAAAAGTTAGAATTATCACAATAAAATATTTTCCAGTAGAATTCGCTATATAAATAGCCACTAGTCATCAAATTTCTACTCTTTTTTTTTTGCTTTAATGAGCATAAAACAATGAGGTAAGGCCTGCTAATCAAGTTGGTTTCTGGTATGACAGAGACCTGTTCACTAACAACCTTCTTGGAATTGAGACGCAGCGTCTTTTATTTTTCTCCGTGGTTCTGCCATGAAGCTCAAAGCCCAACCTCCCGGTACCCACAGCCCCTTGGCTGGTGTTGAAAGAGAACTGCTGCCCCGAGCAAATTTAAAGCCATTCTTCTAGAAGTTCTGATGCATTTTCTTTCTCAAATCTCTTTATTAATAAAGCAGCACACTGCAGGGTCTGCACTCATCAGACCAGTACAGGCACAGCCTTTGGCTACCCTCCATGCCTCAGTCTGCCAATTGTGCATTGAGTCTTCGTCTAAGGCACTCCCTGTCATGTGCTCGCTTACAGAGACATTTTGCATGGATTCCAGATCTTCTCATGTTCGAATGAACACAGCAACGCATTTCACTTTCATTTGTCAGAAGACAAATGTTCTCTGAACATTCATGTTTTGGATTCATTGTCTCTGTGCTCCTTTTATTTAGTAAAAGAAAGCATTTTACATTTAACATCTAAGCCCCTGGTCTTTGCACACATGTGAGGGAACATACGCTGTGAGATTCCTGAGAAAGAACAAAAGACATGGTTTCCGAAAAGCTGTGATGTTGCTCACTAACTCTCTAGGTCCCACCACTGGCTTTTAAAGTAATCTTACGCCCTGATGGATTTACTTTCTCTTTTGGAAATAACTGCTGTGCTACGGTGACAGATGTTTTCATTGGAAGAAGGAAGATGGGGTGGGGGGAGAATAAGTTGTAATTAGGTATATGCTTATATCTTTTTGATCTGAGTCCTGTAATTCCATCCTCATTGTCTAGATAAACTAGATTGTAAGCTTACCAAGGACAGGTGTCACTTCCTTTCTGTACTTTACATTTCTCCCAAAGGACCTACACTATATATTTCACCCTCTAGTAACATTCATTAAATATTGACTTAATGCCAACAAACCCTCCTTTAAACATAATATTTAACTTTGGCCTTATGTACAGTACCGGCCTTTAATTCTTGAAAATAAATGTGATCTCTTTGTGCACAAATCTCCAGACCCCAAAAAATAACTCTTGGAGAAAAGAAAATTGCAGTTAAATGCAGGTATTTTAGTTGTGTCTTCTAATGCTGAAGTTCCAGTTCCCCGATGAAGCCTCCTTCCCAACTCTAGAATGCACAGATTTCTTTCTTTTCTTAACTTCCATTGGGAATAACGCTGAGTACAGATAGGCATGGACGTAGTACATACTTACTGATGGATTGAATCACGTTGGATTCGGACAGCAAAATCCTGGGCTACAAAGGTTCAGAGACGCTAGGAGTCCCTTAGCACACCAGCCTGAGCCCGACAGTAGGGCCTCTGCCAGCCCCTGGCATTCTCCCAGTGCCCACAAAACAAACCACTACTTCTCAGATGTCCTCAGAGCTGTCAGTAATCGCCACTGCTCTGCTGGAAAGTATGGAATTGTCATAATTTTTTTTTCAATTATGCAACCTTTTTTATTATATTGTCATTTGACACAGTTCAAGGAAATTCTTCTTTCTTGAAAAATTAATCTGCTGGGAATATGTCTAAAATTGGTAGAAAGAAGAGAAATGGCACTTATAAACAGCAGTAGCTGAACTTTTCAGTAGAAGACAATATGTGTAACCTTGTACGCAGGGCATGGCAGCTGTACACCGGTTCTCAGGGTTTAAGGACAGTACACTTAAAAGTGTAAACTGAGGACCTATGTTCAGAGAAAACATGAAGGGATCTGAAATGTTCAGTTGGGGATAGAAATCAATGAACAGAATTTAAATAATGATATCTGATTAATGTGCCTTGTTAACTACCAAACCACAGTTGCAGAAGGAAGGAAATCTATTGTTGAATGAACAATAGAACCTCCTCCAATTCTTTCTGGAAGACTGTGGGGTAATATCAAAAAACAAATAAGTAAATAAATAAAAGTAGCCTTGGTATTTTGGGGGAAACTTGATTAATCATTCTTTCCACGAAATTATATCATATGCTGACGTTATTTAAATATTTTCTGAAGATATTAAACTACATAGGTTATAATCATGCTGACGTATGGGATAATTGAGTTTTGGGAAGTTTGTCTAAGAAGTGGAAGGTTCTCAGCTATGGCACTGATAACCTAATTGAGGAAAAGATTTCCTTCTTAAGAAGACCCTAGCTACTTTCAAATTTGGCATGACTATGTTTCCATGCACTTATCTTTTACCTGCTTTATTTCCAGTCCATTTAAATTTGAACTCAACGACTGTTTAAACTTTCAAAATACAGAAAGTATATTACACATTTTTTTCATTTTTATACATTAAAATTATTTCTTTTTACTCTCATCGGTTTCTTTCAACAAATGAAAACAGCTTTAATTGGAGTGATTTCCATTTTCCTCAGGTCAATTGGTAAAGAAGCTGGTTAAACTATCTGTGCTTTTGTTTGAATGAGAGGACAATGCTGTAGCCAGATTTACAAGTTATCTTAATTACCCACATTTTGAAACTAATTTAGCGGTAGAATGAAATATCTTAAAGAAATTGTACAGGTTTAAATTGCTGCCTGTGTGACAAGATTATTAGCAGATAAATAAGAAACAGTGGGAGTTCTCTTGAATGTACCTACCTTTCAATAAAAGAAAAAAATCTGTGCTCACTCAAACCCTGTCATGTCACAGGGTCTGGGGGACTGCTTACCTGTTCTTATCTGTCAGGCCTGCCCTGAGCCTTGAAGGACAGGCAGCCCATGGGGAAGCCATGTCTAGATTGCTGCTCTTTCATCTGAAGGCAGATCCTTCTACACAGAAACATATTTCCCTTGACTAAGAGTCACTGCTCTAGAAGTCGCATGAGATTTAATGACCCATCATAAGTCCGGCAGAGTTCAATGGGAATGACACATTCCCAGAGAAGTCTTTCAATGTGGTGGCCTCCTCAATGGCAGCAAAATTTCTCATGGTGGCGTCTTGTGACATTTTCCCTGGCAAACTTATTGGCAAATCACAGTGTCAGCCTATAAAGATGGCCTCAAATATGGTCATCAATAAGTTAATTTCTTAATGGAATGGCACATTACAAATATTCAGTTAGTTTGCTTTACAGCTATAAACAGGCTTTTTCTGAGGGAGCACGAAGGAAAGAGTGGGGCCAGGAAGATTTCAGTACATAGTACACTCACTCCAGTTCTTTCTTTTGGCTTAAATTTTGTTTAGTTTTTCTTTCCTCCCTCCTTCCAGCCCTATCTCCATTCCTTCCTTTCCTTCAAGCTTCCTCCTTCCCTCCCTCCTTCCTTTCTGTGTTCATTCTTGCCTTCCTTCGTTTCCTCTTTCTTAATGAGTATAGCCTCCCAGGAGCATCCATCCTTATCTTCCACCTTGTCCTCTCCTGATTCTTCTATCTCCCCTTTTCCTTTCCACCCCTCTTCTCTCTTCCACATTCTACCTTTTTTTTTTTCTGTACTTCTCCACGAGTTAGAGCATTCTCTTTTAGTTCCCTTCCTTTTCAACCACAAGCTCAGGTCACTATTTCAGAAATAATGAAATGAAAAGTGAGCGACTCCCAGTTTTGCACCTTCTGTTGCCATTTCATCTCACCTGCAGCATTGCACCAGCAAAGGGAGATATGAAATAAGCAAGAAATATGCAAGTGAAAAATATACTTAAAATCTGACCAGTTGTAAGCAATTTGTAATACAAATTTGGAATAAACATGAGAGAATACTATGTCTTCTTTACATTTGAAGTTTTTTATTTGATTTGGAAAATTGGGGAGCTATAGAGTTTCTATCAGAATTATACTATTGACTTTAAAAATGATCTTCAAAGATCATGTCTAAGATACAAAATAGCATAGATTTTATGAACATCGGTTCTAGAGCCTGGGTTCACATTCTAGTTCTCCCGCTTAACTAGTTATGCTATCTTGGGCTGGTTACTGAAAATCTGGAAGCCTGAGTTTTCTCATAAATAAAGTTAGGATACAAAGAGTACTTAATGAAAGGATTATTGCAAGTATTAAATGATACGGTGCAAACAAAATGCTTAGTAAGTTGCCTTACACTGAAAAAGTAGGTCATAAATATGTTGGCAATGAGCATGACCATTATTGTGACTATATTTCAGAAAGACCATCATGGAAGAATCTGAAAATTGCAAAAGACAGTTGAACTACTTTAGATGGGGAGTTGCTGAGAAGGCAATATTAAAATTTTGCATATAATTTTAAGAATGAAGAGACCAACCAAAATTGAAGCGTGAAATTTGCAAAGGTTCGATTTGCAGTTACCTCTCCGCCTGCCACAGGCTTCCTGGATTTCCCCACAGTGCAATGGGTTTTGATGGGATTCTGATCTCAGCTGTATTACCTGGTTGCTGTACGAGATTATGAAAGTCATTTAACCTTTCTGAATCTCGGTCCTCGCAGCCCTCTCCAACAAAACTGGGATACGGACATCTACCATATAGTGTTACTCTGCAGATCAATGCTAATAATGTATTGACAGCGCTTTATAATGAGTCATATGCTATCAACCCCAGTCGCTGCACTTAGGGGACACAAGTATATTTCTTCTCCTTTTAAAAACACAACTCCTTTTAAAAACAAATGGGAGTTAAATAAAAGGACCGGCAGGGTTTTTGACAAAAAAGTCATTGTTGGGGCTGGCCTGGTGGCATAGTGGTTAAGTTTGTGCCCTCTGCTTCAGCTGCCTGGAGTTCATGGGTTTGGATCCCAGGCACAGACCTACACCCTGCTCATCAAGCCACGCTGTGGTGGCATCTCACATACAAAATAGAGGAGGACTGGCACAGATGTTAGCTCAGGGCCAATCTTCCTCACCAAAATAATAATAATAATAATAATAAATCATGGTGCATGTCCCTTCCATTGGCCTCCTTGCATATGTGCCATTTGCATACCTGAATCACATCATAACAGTTGTGATAATAAGAAAGGGTGTTTCTCATTATTGCTTTCCAAAATGAAATAAAGCCAGTGCCTTTGGGAAAAGAAGTTTGCCTGGATAAAGAAACAAGTCATGGAAAAACCATGAAGCTAATTTCAGATATATTGTATTTTAGATCCCTTTTCACTTGGCTCATGGAACATCTCAGGATTGACAATTATACATAATTTATCTAAAGGACATAAAGATATAGGTAGTAACTGGACATTATTTAACAAAAGCCAAGGTAACAAAGAGACCAAGGATTAGCCTGCCGCCAATGTGATTTCAATCCATCAAAAACTCTTTCTCTTGCAGGAAAATCCTATTTATTTCTACTCTATCTCCTAAGCACAATGAGCAGCTTTCCGTGTAGAATTCCTGCCCCCAAGAAGCAGCCCCCCCCCCCCCAGGAAAGGCTGCCGAGAACTGCCTCCCCTCACTCAGCACAACCTGCCCGCCCAGCTCTGTCTCTCTCTCTGACCAGAAAGCTCTGGGAAGGGGGACGAGAGGATTTTTGTTTTCGCTTTGTTTTTAAGAGAGCCTAAGCTTTCTGGACGTGGCAATCTGGGCTGGCAACATTCAGCCAATCCTTTCTCAAGTGTCTTGAAATCTCCTTACTAATATCTGCATTTGTTCATCATCTTTCTTTCCAACTAGGTTGACTTCGGGCTACAGGGTAAGTAGTCTGTCACTTCACGTCTCGCACTTTGCCCAAGGTATTTAACCTCTCCCCTCTCTTCCCATAAGTTTCCTAATTGATAAGATGAGAATAATAGTAATAGTCATAATAATAAATAACAGTAATACCACCTCTCTTTGGGGTTTATTTGAAGATTAAGTGAGATCATATATGAAAGCTCTGATCCTATTTCCTGGTATAACAATAACCCAAACATCTTAGCTTCTCTCCTGCCACCTCTGCTCTGGGCCTACATTACCCACTTTCTCTTGGAAACAGTGATTCAACGTGTGACCCTGATACCACTCCTTAAAGAAATCCATTCTCTGCACACAGTGAGACAGAAATCCTACAGAGAGGAATGCATTAAAAGTCAAGGTGAGGCTGACACACAAATTTAAGGGGGAAGGAACTCAATTCCAGTGTGGCCTGATCTGACTGTGTTTGAATCATGCCTGGGTGGAGCAAGGCCACCAGGGGGGCCATTGCACCCACCTCTCTGTCACTCTTGCCTCCTCTCAACAAAATGTGATCAACCTTTTGTTTCCTCAGTGTGACTAGAGGAAATGCGCATTAATCCAAGGATTAAGAATTTAATGGTGAAGTAAACAAATAAAAGTCTGCTATTTGGATTAACAGCAATTGGCGGACCTTTGATTATTAATTTAGAACCAGTGTCTGATTCCATATTTGGGAAAGAGATAGGGGAACTCAAGGAATGGACATTTCTGCAGTAAATTTGGGGCACATTGGGAATATTGGGGACGTGAGGGAGGAGAAACTGGGCAAAGGAGGCCCAAGGCAGCGGATATTTGGGGACTGCAATTGAAGAGACGTCGCCTCCCCATGGAATGGGCAGGTGCCCACAGAGAACTCAACCCGCACTGGCAGAGGCTTCAAATCGCAACCACAGACCTCACATGAAATCACACTTTTTCTTGGAAAAAACCTAAAGAATACTCAATCTAAAAGTCAGAATCAGCATATTGTTTTCACTCTAGAAAAGGCTTCTGGAATTATAACTAATGGAATAAAAATTAGTAAATTAATCCATATTAATCTTCATAATTGTATCCTTCCTTAATAAAACAGCGATCATGAGCGTACCACATTTTTAAAGGAACCATCTTTTTGCAAGCATCTCACTTTCTCTTTGACTTCAGAAAATATAGAATCATAGGGAGGTAAGGGAGCTTACTGTCTCTCAACTTTACCCAGGAGGAAACTGAGACACAGAGAGTGAAATGACTGGTGCAAGCACGCTCAGCTGGCCGGCAGAAACCGGCAGAAACCTCTCGTTCCCAGGCAGGGTACTCTTGCTGCACCCACAACTGTTCCCATCGGTCAAAAAGTACCCTAAAATAAACCAAGTCAGGAAACACTGGTGACGAGTAAATTACACTTGTGGTTAATACTGTGATATGCAGTCCTTTATAAAATGCCGGCAGTTCTATTCCTGTTGGTGTTCGTAGCTTACGACTATCAGCTTGTGTGTACAGATCCCTTCATGCACCTGCAGGCAGAGCAGTATCGTCTCAATTCTAGGATTTCCGGTAGGCCTGGGGGGAGATTATTCCATACCATAGACTCGCTTCTGTTTATCTGGATGTTACATCCTTTGCTCCCAGGACCTCACTCCCATCCTGGATTTTGGAGTCTAATAGAACCGTTAAACAACATCCTAGTTTGGATTTTGTCACACAGAGTTACCATCAAATCTATAATGTACTCCAGCCATAAAGTCATAAGCATGAGGTTTCAGATTATGTTAAAGAAGTCATTCCATAATTTAAAATTCCAGCGGTTTTAAGTTCTGACTCTCAGATAGTCTTGTGTGAGGCTGAGCATACTCTGCCCCGAATTTTCCCCATCTGAACTTAACTGTGACTAGAAACATTCTTATTTAATTCAATTTAGTTAAGAGACTGAGCAAGAAAAATGAAGTCACGTTGTTTCCTTCTGTTTACTTTCATTAGAAAACTAAGAAGCATTTTACAAAATAACTGTGTCTGTCTTTTGAGGAGTAAGTATAACATGAAAGCATCTTGCCAAATCCCGTAGCAATCTTTTTCTAGAATCCATTATCCCAAAGTGACTAGTACTGTCTACTTTATGGTATTATTACAGGGGGTGGCAGGGAGAAGAAGGAAACAGCCATTATTTTAGAAACGAATAATGTAAAATAGAAACCAATCATCCAGCATGTTTACAGAGTGCTATTTATTAAGTATTAGCGTATAAATTATTGGTCTATTGAAAACAAGACTTTTGTACAATGGTAAAGTTGGCATATGTTATTATTCTGTGGGGCACATAACAAATTAATAAATGTGAGTTCA